CCATTTTGTTTTAATGAATGGGTTTCCAGACCCATATGTCTGACTTGTTTTGACTGATTATGTTCAAATTTTTAATATTCATTATACATCATGTCATAGATATACAGATATATTGGTTTGACGATCCTTTTCCAAGTGACCAAATGATGGCTATTTTTGTGCTAAAAAAATCCTCAAATATCAAGCATTTCTTGTTGACATTGATATTACTGTATTGAAGAAGTCACAAGACTGAAAAATAATCACAAAAGTCGCATGACAAATGTACATTTCTGGAAATATACAAATCTGTGAAAGAACTGATTGGTGTTTATCCTCGGCTGTTGTTAGTGTCCTTGCTCATTCCCAAAGCATGTGTTTCTTTGTATTTTCTAATATGATGATTATGATGTTCATTGTTGTTTACACAGTCCAACCACTTCAAGTGTCCATGGTGTTCTGTTATGCTACGACCTAAACATGTGTGGAGTGGAAACATCGCATTCCTATAAGTCTTGGCTGGTATAATTACAAGTAGTACAACTCTAAATATGTAACATCATTGCATTGTTTTCAGACTTTGGGATTTTATTTAAAAGATCGAGTCAAGAAGTTTATTGTGACTATTGTAATAGCTCTCCCCATCACGGCCATATTGATCTATATTATCCAGGCTGGTGGTGACTACTTCTTTGTTTATGCATGGTTGTTTACCTTTGTCACCACTATGGTAAGTAAAAGTCAATATTGTCAAAACATTTGTTTTCTTTTGTGGTTTGATTTAAAATTGCTTTCATCTTACTTATTTTTCTGACACATTGACAATACTTGTCAAATTTGTATCTTAAGTTTCAATTGTAAACTACAAAAAAATAAATTGTTACAATAATATAATAGCTTTATTGCATCCTAAGAAATACAATGTTTCTATCAATTAATAGCAATAAAGATTAGTTGTGATAACTACTACTATAAAAAGAAAGAAAGTTGTTAATGGGATAAAACAAGTGTTACATATCAACAAGTCTTCAAAAAAAAAAATTCTGCAGATCATTCTGTGTTTGTTGTGAAAATGTAATGAAGCAAGCAAGGAAGCAAACAAATGAAATTACAACATTTGGTTATTAAAATGTCTTATGTATAATTATCATACATGTTATACACTGCACTGTCTACATACATGTATTAAGACCATGTAATTAAGATAAGAATTAAAATGTCTTATGCATAATTATCATACACGTTATACACTGCACTGTCTACATATTGAGACCATGTAATTTAGATAAGAATTAAAATGTCTTATGTATAATTATCATACATGTTATACACTGCACTGTCTACATATTAAGACCATGTAATTTAGATAAGAATTAAAATGTCTTATGTATAATTATCATACATGTTATACACTGCACTGTCTACATATTAAGACCATGTAATTTAGATAAGAATTAAAATGTCTTATGTATAATTATCATACATGTTATACACTGCACTGTCTACATATTAAGACCATGTAATTTAGATAAGAATTAAAATGTCTTATGTATAATTATCATACATGATATACACTGCACTGTCTACATATTAAGACCATGTAATTAAGATAAGAATTAAAATGTCTTATGTATAATTATCATACATGTTATACACTGCACTGTCTACATATTAAGACCATGTAATTAAGATAAGAATTAAAATGTATTATGTATAATTATCATACACGTTATACACTGCACTGTCTATATATTAAGACCATGTAATTAAGATAAGAATTAAAATGTCTTATTTCATCCACAGTTAATGATCACTGTCTATGCAGACTACATTGCTCCACTCTTTGACAATTCACACCACTACCGGAGGGTGCTCTAAGAACTCAAATAGAAGACTTGGCTAAAAGCATTGAT